TGTCCAGGCTGCAGTTGACAGCCACAGCGCCCCCTCACTCCACCACATCCCTTTTCTTTTCTTCTAGATTTGTTGTTGTTGTTGTGTGCCATCGAGTCGGACCCGACTTCTTGGGTTTCCGAGGCAGTATCACCACAGAAGTAAATTGCCCCATCTTCCTTCCGAGGAGTGGCTGGTGGGTTTGAACCGCCAGCCTTCTGGTTAGCAGTCAAGTGCCATAGCCACTATGCTACCAGAGCTCCCTTTCTTCTAGAAGGAGAGGTTGAAAGACAGCAAGGGACCTTGAAGTCATCCTGGGTAACGTAAACACAGTTCAGGCTAAGTGTGTCTTGTTCAGATTCTCATGTGCCATTTGCAGTGACAGGACACCATTTTCAAAGATGGCCCTAACTATTTGGAAGTTTTAATATGATTGCCTCCAAATGCCTGAGAAAGCTCCATGTGTTTGCCAGGCGTGCTGCTCTTTTATGACAGGGCTGGGTTGCCCGCCCCCCCCGCCCCATTTCTCCTATTTCTGGATCTGCAGCGTCCTTGGCTGGTAATTTTTAAACCCCAGGCTGCAGTGATTTCTCTTCATATAGCCACACATTAAGCACATCTTTCATGCCTCTCCGAACCAAACTCAGAAAGTGCCAATTAATAAGTTGATGGGGGAAAAGTCACTGGAGAGCATTAAGGCCACCTGTCTGGAGACATTAGGTGCACACTTTGATGGAGTGAAAGGAGACCTGCAGAGACTCAAGAATGAGGTACTTTATCACACATTCCTAGAGTCATAAAGCGAGAGAATAAAAAACAGTTATCAGGGCAGCTCCTCCATCTCACGCCTATTGTGGGTTATTCACATCGCTCTGGCGGAGAGGGGAAACATCTGAAGCTGAATTTTTACAATTTCCACTGGACAAAGACTTGCTAATCTGCTCCTGTAAAGAATAAACCAAACCAAATCTGCTTCCTTGGAGTCAATTGCAACTCATAGTACCCTACAGGACAGAGCAGAACTGCCCCATAGCATTTCCAAGGCTATCATCTTTATGGAAGCAGACTTCTACCCCTTTCAGCTGTAGAGTGGTTCATAGGTTTGAATGTCTTACTCTTTGGTTAGCAGCTACATGTTACACCACTGTGCCACCAGGGATTCTTTCATAAAGAAAACTCTGAGGGGACAGTTCTACTCTGTCATGTGGGATCGCTATGAGTTGACATCAACTTGCTGGCACCCAACAATAATGATGAAAGCTTTACTCTATAAGGTTATTTCTACTTTGAGGAGGCAGCTCCTCCCCAGTCATATCTTGAGTGCCTCATCTTCGATCACTAGTATCAGTTCCACTGCTATTCATAAAGTTTTCAGTGGCCAGTTTTTCAGAAGTAGACTGTGACGTCCTTCTTCCTAGTCTGTCTTAGTGTCAAAGCACCTCTGAAAGCTGTCCACCACAGGTGATCCTGCTGGTACTTGAAATACCAGTGGTGTACCTTCCAGCATCTCAGCAACACACAAACCACCAAAATACAACAAAGTGATAGAAGAGATGCTGACCTGTGTTTATTGACTATGCAAAGGGCTTCAACTTTGTGGAAGATAACAAATTACAGATAACATTTTGAAGAATGAGAATTCTGGAACACATAATTGTGTTCATGAGGAACCTGTATGTAGACCAAGAAGACAGAACATGGAAATACTACATGATTTCAAATCAGGAAAGGTGTGTGTCAGGTTTGGATCCTTGCTCCATATTTATTCAATCTGTATGCTGAGAAAATAATCTGAGGAGCTGGACTGTATGAAGAAGATCATGGCATCAAGATTGGAGGAAGTCTCATTTCCAACCTGAGAAATGCAGCTGACACACCCTTTCTTGCTGGAAGCACAGAGGACTTGAAGCACTTACTGATGAACTTCGAAGACCACAGTATGGGTTACACTTCAACATTAAAAAAAAAAAAAAAAAAAAATCCACAAAACTGGACCAATAAGCAACATTGTGCTAAACTGAAAAAAGACTGAATTTGTCAAATATTTCATTTTACTGGGATCCACGGTCAATGCCCCTGGAGGCATTTGATTGAGAAATCAAATAGCATATTGCATTGTGCAAGTCTACTGCAAAAGATCTCTTGAATATGTTGAAGAGCAAAGTTATCCCTTTGAGGATGAAGGTGCACCTGACCCAAGCCATGAAATTTTCAATCACCTCACATGCATGCAACAGCTGAGAAATGAACAAGGAAGACCAAAGAAGGATACACGCCTTGAATGATGGTGTTGGCAAAGAACATTAAATATACCGTGGCCTTCCAGAAGAGCAAACAAATCTACCTCGAAGGAAATACAGCTCGAGTGCTCCTGAGAAGTGAGGATGGTAAGGCTTTCCCTCCCACACTTTGGTCGTGTCGTCAGGAGGCACAGTTCCTGGAGGACATCCATCCAATACAAGGACATCATCCTTGCTAAAGTTGATGGTTAGCAAAAAAGGGGAAGACCTTCAGTGACATGGATTGGTGCAGTGGCTGCCATGATGGGCTCAAACATAGCAACAATTATGAGGATGCCACAGGACTGGGCAGTGTTTTGTTCTGTTGTGCAGAATTCGCTATGACTCCAAACAACTCTATGGCCCCTAACAATAAAAACAACAACCATATAAACATGCCCTCTCCTACAACTCTCTTTATGTAACTCTCATTTATATCTCCTCAAACTTTTCTAGACATCTAAGGCCACTTGACTACCCTGCAACCTCTTTACCTTCATTCATTCATTCTCTTGACATTTACTAGGATTTATTTCATATATAATACATGCTGAGCTTTAGTGTAGATGCTAGGTATACACCTATGAACATAACAGACAAATATCCCTATTCTCACAGAGTTGGGTTCTAATAGGAAGGATTATGGACAAGAAACAAAATTGTGAAAATGTATCATAAGGTAGAAGGTTATATGGGGAACAGGGACAAAATGGAGCAACATTGGGTGATTGTTCTTCAGTGGAGAGAGACAGTCATTCCCACTGTGAAGAAGCCTTTGTACAGTTCCCAGAGAACCCTTTTGAGAGCCCAGTTTTTAACTCAAGACTCAGAAAATCAGGCTCAGGTTGGTATATAGAAGATTGTCAACATAGAATAAAAGGGCTTAAAAGTAGAAGAAAACACATTGATTTTCATCCTCTCTCTGTTTCTACCATACCACACAGACTGTGTCAAATGTTGCTATTTATCTTCTCAAGATGAACAGAAGACCAGACCTAGTAGGAAGGAGGATTGAGGCTAAGTTGTTGTTGTTGTTGTTAAGTGCCGTCGAGTCATTTCCGACTCATAGCGACCCCTAAGGGAACAGTATAATATATTCCAGATTAAGGAAATCACATGTGGTAGTTAAATTTATGTGTTAACTTGGCTGGGCCTCATTTTGAGTGGCTGGGCAGCTGGATATAGTGATTCCTCATAATGATACTGGTAATAAACTTGATGGTGGGATCTACTATGAACGACTGAGTAGCTGCCTTACGGATATGGTCTGCTTCCAGTATATAAGAAGCAGCATTGAGAAAGCTTCTTGGCACGTTTGGATCCTGTGTTTGTCTGAGTTATCATTAAGTGGCTTGCCGTGTTGTCTGCACATCTTGGAACTGTTTCTGAACTTGAACTAGTGGCCTGCCATGTTTCTTGATAATCTTGGGACTGTGCTATTTTACTTGTCAACTTTGGGTTTGTCAGCCTCAGTAGCCAGCAGCTGCCTGAGTTAAAAGATGCCCCCAACTCCAGTGGGCCTAGAGTAAGAGGTGGAGCTGAAGCCCAAAGTCAAGGGGCCTTTACCCCACCCCTAGAGCTGGCAGTTTGAACTTGAACTTCTAACCTCCTAACTCTGGTAGTGTAGTGCCTAAGGCACTTGACTGCTAACCAGAAGGCTGGCGGTTCAAACCCACCAGCCATCCTCAGAAGGAAGGTTGGGCAATCTATTTCCATAGTGATATCAAGTCGGAAACCCAAGGAGGTGTTTCTATGAGTCGGGTCTGACTCGACGGCACATAACAACAACAACAACAAACTGTAAGAGAATAAGTCTGTTTGCTAAAGCCATCTACTTGTGGTATTTTCTGTTAGAGCAGCACTAGAGAATCCAAATGCCTTAGAATGAAATAAGGAATTCTACAGAAGAGAATAGAAAACAGGCCTCTACTTCTTCCCTGTCATGGTTATGTTAGTGTGTCAACTTGGCTGGGCCTGGTTGAGTGGCTGGGAAGCTGGTGGTCGTTAATCCCCATGAGGAGACTGGCAATCAACTCCATGGTGGGATCTACCACAAGCAGCTGAGTAGCTGCTTTTTGGGATGTGGTCTGCTTCCTATATATAAGGAGAAGCCTTGGGAATGGTCTCTAGTCTATGGCAAGCTTGGACCCTCCATGTAGCTGTGTCATTGCTCAGCAGCCTGCTATGCTCTGCTGACCTTGGGACTTAAAATGGACTTAAGTTAATGGCCTGCCGTGTGGTTTGGTAACATCGGGACTGTGCCTTTTTACTTGTCAACCTTGCGGCTTCTCAGCCTCAGCAGCTAGCAGCTGTCTAAGTGAAGAAACACCTCTAGCTCTGGTGGGCTGGGAACAGGAGGCAGAGCTGGACCCCAAGGTTGAGGGGCTTTCACCCAGCCCCTAGAGCCTGGCACTTTGAACTTGAACTTAAAGCCTCCAAACTAAGAGATTAAACTCCTGTTTGTCAAGGCCATCCCTTTTGTGGTATATTCTTGTCAGAGTGGCACTAGGGAACCAGAACATTCCCCGTGTTTCCTCCTTCATTTCTTAGTGAAAATGGTTTCACGGCATTGGTCCAAGGTAGGAGAATTAAGTGGACAGAGTCAAAATCTTTGCTTAGCCATGCATTCGTTGCCTACCTTTTGCACCTCCCTTGTAAAAATTTTAGCCCATTTTCAAGTTTTGTAAATTTGTAAACTTAACTTTCTGTGGTCTTCTTTTTCCCAACAATTCTTTTCTGCAGATTATGTTACTCACAGATCCGGAGATTGAGAGCAGCTTGTTGATCAGCTCAGACGAAGGAGCAACCTATCAAAAGTACCGGCTGAACTTCTACATCCAGAGCTTGCTTTTCCACCCCAAGCAAGAAGACTGGATTCTGGCCTACAGTCAGGACCAAAAGGTGAGCCTTCTCACCCTGCTTGAGACTGTGGTTCTTCAGGGGGAAATAAAACCAATCCAAAACCAATCCCATGGCTGTCCAGTTGACTGCAGTACAGTTAGTTAATCATCTCTTCATTTCTTCTCAGTGATTATTTTTGTTCAGTGCATTAGCCTGAATTCTATGCCAAGTGTGCAAGGAAGGGGTCTTAGGAGAAAGGAAGACCTTAGGATGCTGACTTGAGCTATGTGAATGTCTGAAACAGCATAAGAAATGAAAGTTAGATTGGCAGAGACACTGTGGAGAAATAGTTTTTAATCTAGATGCTTCAGGTAACGAGGGCCCTTTTCCCTCTCACACAGAATTCAAGACAGAGTTTCACATATAATCTACAGGTGATCATTTTTGGGGGTGAAGGATGCATAGCTTTGCTCACACACTCACAGGGAAGCATGACCTTAAACAAGTTAACAATACTAATCAGGGGTGATGAGAGAAGCAGCCAGAGAAATAGTAATGTACATACCTAACATTTATTCAAAAATCTGGATTCTTCTTCTCTTGGTGGTTGGGTTGAAGTTCTTGAAGTCTACTTCTTAAAAAGCATTTAGTGAGATTATCTTATGATATATATATTTGTTGTTATGTGCCGCATATTTCATGGAGTAGATAAAGTATACAGTATCATTTATAGTATATATGGTATACTATAAATGATACTGTATACTTTATCTACTCCATGAAATATGTATACTCTCTACTTTAAGAAACATTTGTATTCAGAGGTACAATATAAAGCTACAAATAGCAAATTAAATTAAATTAAATTAAATTAAAAATAAGAGAGGCAAAATAAACATAGAAAAACATGAGAGAAACTCTGGCCATAAAAGCAAAAGGAGAAATGTGTGAAAAGTTGGAATGCTTTTTATGAAATGTATCATTTAGTCAAGTCATTCTGATAGTTCTACTTACATGTATTTAAAGAAATATTGGGCTTACATGCCTGAGAGGATATTCAAAGGTTTTATCTGTTTGGGCTGGTGGGACTGCCATCCAGAAGGCAAGGCTGTGGTATAAGCAACATCCCAAAGTCACCACTGATGTGAACATTTTGGAAGAAACAAATTATAATTCTTAGGATTGGAGTTTTATTCATGCTGCCCTTACTGCCAAATAAAATGTACATTAAGCCTAAAAATAGAAAGGATTTGCAATTAGTATTTTTCCCCTTGAGCAATCTGGCTACCCTTTCAGCAGAATGTACAATTTCATTCCTGGAGTCAGGCCACGGAGCGTCTGGTCCAGGTGGGTGCAGTTAGTAGAAGCAAGGGCTGAGTGGCTCAGAACATAGAGAATTAGTAGTTTAATCCACAGAGTTATTGTATTTTATTCGACAGTTGGTTCATTTTTTTTTTTTTTTTTTCCCTTGATGCTAGAGGCATGGTGAGGACCATATTTACCAGATGAAGTGAAAACTATGCGTCTTTGCAGTTCTGCTACAGGAGATGCCCAGAAATATAACCCTTCAGATCCTAGCACATCAAACAGTGTCTCCCATAATCACTGTGGCAGAGCAGACAGCCCTGGGAAACTAGGATGTCTGGGCTGTAGCCTCAGTTCAGCCAGTAACAGTGAGCAGTAGTTAAAGTTGTCTTCTTGTGCCTTAAAGATGCTATTGTAATTATAATTGCAGACATACTACCAATGAGATTGGGCAAAATCAAATATGAGGCTACATTTTGAATGCAGTGGGTTTGTTTTATTTTTCTTCAGGGAGGTCTGTGTAAAACACTTTGTATGGTACACCATTGGCATAAGAAAAAAAAAAACTATCAAGAACCTTTCAATTCATCTGGGGAGTCAAGATTAATATATATGAGTTCACCAGTATTCTAAGAGAGGTTAAAAAAAAAAATAGGCAGTGATCTGACTGACACATGATAGGTACCCAATAAAGTTGGCTGGATGAATTATATGAAATTGGTAGCACAGACTTCAGCAGATGAAAGCTAGCAATCTCTTTGCTCTGAAGGTATTACAAAATGAGGTATTATGAAATTATTTCACCCAGGTCTTAATGAATGTGTAGGAGTTCTGTTGAGATTGGATATGTTTGACAGAAAAGTAATGACATAAACAATCCTGAACTTAAAATACAAATAAACATGTTACAAGGTTGTAAATTTTTCCCTTGGACTGAAACTGAAATTGGGTAAAGCTGGTTAGAGTAGAGATGGGAATTTTGAAACCTAATCTTCGCTGCTTTGAATTCTAGGCAAGAGCATTTATGTTTTCCTAAATAGGCACCTTTAAAAATTTTTGAACTGGGAAGTGATGTGCTCAGAGCTATAAGTTACAAGGGTTAGTCTGATGCACTGTCAAATACAAGGCCAAAAGCAAGAGGAACAATTAGGGTACTCTCCCAGTGGTTCTGACACCTTGCAGAATAGGGTAGAACTGCTCCATAGGTCCCCAAGGTTGTAATATTTGTGGAAGCAGACTACCACATCTTTCTCCTGCAGAACAGCTGGTAGGTTTGAATGACTGACACTTCATTTAGCAGCCACGTGCTTTCACCACTGCACCACCAGGGCTCCTTTGTGACCCCAGTTCCAAGAAATCCTGTCGCTTTCAAGTCTGGAAGGGGCTTTTAAGTCTTTTTTCTGTAGTTAAGGAACCAAAACTCTGAGAGGTATTCAGTTTTCTCAAAGAAAAAATGACTAACTTCTGTCACATATGGACATTCTATGAATGGAATAAAGCCTCATATGAAATGTGGTTGCTCTGTCATTCTTGGAAGTGGTATCTTCTCATTAACAGGTGGGCACAAGCCAATCTTTTTGCCAACTTCTCTTTTTCTCTGGGAGAGAATGAAGGAGAAAACATGGTGGGGGAAACTTGTGCATAACCTGCTAATCTGAGTGTGGGTCAGAGAAGAGCTCAGTATCGCAAGGCTTTGAATCACAGATTAAGAAGTGGGGCATGAGCTGGGAGGGGAGCGGGTACCAGCCATCCGAGGAGACATTAGCTGATGGTGTTGGCTGGAAGTCAAGTTGAGAGGGGCTATGGTCACTCAGGTGGGCCAGTGATATGGAATTAATAGCTGGCAATCACCCATGACTCGTGGAGCTTTTAGCACTGATGAGATGCAGTTCTGGGCACTAAGGAGGCCCCAAGCTGCTGCTGGCCAAGCAATAACTGGATTTTCCCAGGGAACATTTATTCTTCCGTAGAAGTATTACTCATCAAGTTTTCTGTAAGACTTGTTACTGCTGCTGCTGCTCCAGAAATCCCAACTAAGATCTGAGCCCTAGTGCTAGGATTCACTCTGGGGTGCTGTTTCACATCAAATTCTGGTGAACAGAGTCCTCAGGCAAAAGGTCCCATCTCTTAATACTATGTTGAGGTGGCAACTCATTTCAACCCCACCTGTGAAAAAAGTCACCTCTTCTCTTTTTGCTTGTTTGCCTCCTTTGTCTTTTCAGACATAATCTCCCTCTTTCAGACTCGTTGTAGTTCTTAGTTGTCATTGAGTTGATTTCAAGTCATGACGATCCCATCTGTGCAGAATACAAATGTTCCCTAAGGTTTTCAAAGCCTGTCTTCACTAAGCCTGTCTTCCAAAGAAGCCTCTGAGTAGGTTTGAACCATCAACCTTTTGGCTTGTGGTTGAGCGCTTAATTGTTTGCACCACTAAGGGAACTTTGGAGTTGGAGCTGATAGACTCTGGGTATAACTCATGTGGGCTGCAGTGCTCTGCTCCAACCCCATTTTATCTCTGATGCCTAAATATCCAGGTGAAGGCCTTTTGATGCGAGCATTTTAAGGGACACAGAGAGTTTTGCTGAGCAGATTGTCATTTCTGGCCCTGGATAGGGTTTTACTGGCCATCATTTCCATGGGAGGCCAGATTTAAAAGGGGTGGGGGAGTTGCTTTCAATCAGGAAGAAATATCTATGGCCACATGTTCTCAGAATCCATAAAATCAGGATGTTTTGATGTTTTAATCTTTCTCTTTAGAGGGAGAGGTTTATTTGTGACACTCAACACCTGTGTGGTTGCCAAGAGGAAAAAGCTCTCTTGAACGGGCATCCAGCTACTCAGGCATAGCTAGAATGAATGACTGAGGGAAAAGGTTGGGAGCCTTTTTCTACTCAAAGTTATTATAGATGTAGCCTGGCTACTTAGGGGGTCCTGACCCTGGACTTAACCAGAGTAGAAATAGGAGTTAGAATGCTTGGCCTCTGAAGGATCTATGCAACCCTATGCTCTTGTGAGAAGTTCTGGAATTTTCAGAAAAATATAAACATTATAAAAACATTATAGCCCTGATGGAAATACCATGTCAAATTGGCAGAGGGATACTAGACATGGAAAGTCACGGTCCTTAGACTTCTTCTAAAGCAACAGTTCATCCCTTCTTGAGTGGACACTAGAAAGAATTCCACAGCATTTATTATAGAAACATCATCATCTTGCTTCCGTTTTCTTTTTTCTTTCTGTAATTTCAGTAGAAGACATACTTACTAATCATTGTGTTTATTCTTCTTGTTGCCTTTGGAAGGTGGGCAGGCAGGAGAAAGGAGATAGAGTCTTTTTTTTTTTGTTGCTAGTTTTCTGCTACTTGCCTCAATACAGGAAACCACCCAAGAAAGGTTTAGCAGCAGGCTGAGTCTGCCAGATTACATCTTTATTTTAATTTGGCAATAAACTAGTGTACAAACTGTGCTATAAAACACTGCTTCCAACGGCATGTCTCAGTCTGTCTTAAACACCTCACTAAACATGATGTGTTGGAAAACATTTAAAATGAGAGAAAACAAAGAGCAGATGTCACTGAAGGAAAAATCAGGAGAAAAGAGTAAGGACGTGTGTTTATACCAGCTTTGGTGGCTATCCTGAGGCCCTGAGATGTTCACCTTTTCCAATGGGGGCATTGGTGATTCGGTGGAAAACACTCTCACCCTCCATGTGAAAGACCTAGCTTTGATTCCCAGCCAATGAATCTGTTGCACAGT